TAATAATAATAATAATAATAATAATAATAATAATAATAATAATAGATTTCTATAGTTAAGGTTTGTGAACTAATATAAAAAACTAGTTACTATTATTTCTAATATTAAGGTTTCAGCTTGGGAGCTGAGATGTCATAATACACCATAGATGCATTTGTGCAGAAGTGGGTTACCATAGAAGGTACAGATATGACTTTACTTCTTACAGAGTTGTTGTGCCTTGCGGCATGAATTTATTCTGAAAACAAAAGGCCTACCCCAATGTAAAACCATCCCTGTAATCAGAAACACAGCAAAATAAGGCATGTAGCTGCAGCACTGTGGTGACCTCAGGTCCTTTAGTGTGATGCTGCCACTGGTCAACTTGGAGCTTACAGTTGTCACAACACATTTTTATTCAAGCAGGGCTTTGGCATATGAGCCGGGCATTCATTTTGAAGCTACTTTATTCTTTTGTTCTCTAACTGGGTTTTTAAAACATTGTTCTATTTTTATTTTAATTTTTATTTTAAATGATGTCTCTACTGTTGCTAGCCACCTTGAGTATTGGTAGAATTAAAAAAAATAAATAAACATAATGGGGTGATCTATGCGCTGAAGCAGGCATTTGTACCAAATCACAGATTAGAACCACAAGAGTGAACTAGAAGCATATCCAAATCATCTGTCAGCACCACATCTTTTTCAATGAATTGAACATTCAGATGCCCATGTGATGCAAATAGATGCCTTGACATTCAGCTGCACGTCCAGTTTCAGTCATGCTTCTTAATTCAGCAAGTGATACATACAAAGCTTTTCATGTTTTTGGATAAAAGCCAACATGGGTTGGATCCATTATGCAAGCCAGCAAGGACCTCACTGCTGGATGCAGCACTGCAGAAAGATTTTGCATGAAAGTGTCCTGAACAAAGAACAGGCCTCACAAAACCTTGGAAAAAACTAGAGCATACTGGGAGTGTTTGCTCTAAAGACAAGATTGCATCTTAAAGAAATTGTAAGAACAACCAGAAGATATATCAGAAAACTTACCTTTTCTAACATCCATTCTGGCTGTTTGCTTATTCCATCATGACCTATTCTGATTTTGTAAATGTTTCCAATATTATTAATTTCAACCTGAATCATAAGAAATAAAGATATAACATATAACTAAGACCCAGTTCACACTACAACTTTGTACATAGCATGCAGCATGGAGCCACCACCACAAATACTAATTAACATTTGGTATAGAGCTCCCTCTCTCTTTCTCTGTGTACACAATAACAGCACAATGACTGCTGTTATTGTTTCCACCAGGACATGGAAATGCTGGTGTGCATGCATGAAGTGATAGATACACCTGCATATATGTAGGGTAATTACTTGATTTACTAATGTGAAAAATCAGCCATAAAGCTAAGTTTTTATATGACTGAGTTTGACATGATTAAGGAGGTTCAAGATGTATCTAGCATCAGAACCCAACATTTTGAAAATGTCCCAGTGAAATTAACAACCCATATATAAAATGTTAATTATAAATCTTTATCCTTTGGACAATAATGAACATACCATTGCACCCAACTTTAAAGCAATTTCTGTCAGTAAATTATTTTTACAGTATTTCTGAGGAGGAGAGGGAGGAGGAAGATGGTGATGCCTGTGGGTTGAATCAAGTGGTGCTCTTCCACCAGAAAAAGTGAAACTGCTGCAGAGCAAATTTGCCTTCCCCCTGTATGGCCCTCCCTGTGTGGCCCCCAGATAAGTTCCAGGGCGGCCCTCTGGAGCAGTGAGCTGTGACCAGGGGGAGAAGGCAGGGAAGTCCTGTTGCATAAGCAGTCTTTCTCAGGCAATATGGAATCCAACTCCATCAAAACAAAGTGCTTTCTCTCTGAACCCCTGAACGAAAAACCAAATTTGGCGTTTGCAGAACAATCTCAACCCAAATAATGTGAAGACTCTGGATTTAAATCAGCCTCATCCCACTGAATGAAATGTGATGGATGGATGAACAAATGTAACGAATTCAAGTTTTTTGCCTCTCTACTAGGACATGTCTTTGATCACAGAATACAGTCAGGCAGTTGCAGATGCACAGTACATGCTGCATTTCTACTCATCCCAGCTTGATTTTCCCCACTCCTTGACTAGGCCTTATGTTAACTATTTACCTGAAGCAATCACCAGTGGATGGGCAGGGGGAGGAATACATGATCAGGTCCTCCCAGACTTTTGGTTAATTTGAATTTCCCTCTTTAGGACCTGCCCAGCCATCACTGAAATACATGCCAGAGAATCACAGAGTAGGAAGGAGAAGTTTAGGCCATTGAGTCCACCCCCGTGCTTGGTGCAGAAGGCCAACTAAAAGTCCCCCTGACAGATGGCTTCTTTGCTTCTTAGTCTGTTCTTTAGAATCCTTCTGTCTCTGGCTGGCTGGTTCCACATGATAGCACCATGCCACTGAGCCCCAGGCAGCCCTCACCCTTCCCTCCATGGAAGTTGCTTTGGTGCATTCCTCTTACGAGCCTAATAAGTAAGTTCTACTGAGCTAAGATGATATTTCAGAAGCAGCTGACCATTTCTGAACTCCTTTCACCTTCATTCTTCAATAAATACATTGAATTGGGAATTGGGATCAAAATTTTAGTCCTGTGACCACTCAGAAGAAATGGCAGTCCTTTAATTCATTCCTCCAGTGGACTGCTTAGAGAACATGCTACTCTGGGTCTTAAGGAGTTTATAGACGCTGGGGAAAGTGAGTATGTGCACATTCTTGCATATCCCAGGATTCAAGAGGTATTAAAATGTGAGTGCTAGCAGTGATAATGATAGACAAAGGGTTTCTGACAGCCTGTTCCACCTGGCAGGATTGCAGGAATACTGTTTATCAGAGGCTTCTGCTGTTGCAGCTCCAACCCATTTTCTAGACATGCTTTCCTAGCAAAGAGAGGGGCCCAGCTTTTGAACATTATAGATTCTGCAGAAAGATTCATCTGATTCTGGCATAGGGGAGAGGTGGATAGGTGGTTTGCTTCAAGGTTGCCTAGTGAAGATTCTTGGACAGAGCATGAGAACCAGCCTGTCCTGGAAAAGAAGGGAGACTTTTCAGAGCTGGTTTGGTGGGGAGGAGATGCAGGGGCAACTTCTTAACCCTTTCAGGAGACAACAGGTGAAACAAGCAGGCCAGTTAAGAAGTGCTTAGTGTTGCTGCTTTCTAGCAGGAGCCACCCTGATAGTGTAGTCAGTACCTTTTCTGAAAGGGGGGAAGTGGAAGAAAGTTTCAGTGTGGATTCAATACTTTACATGGCATGTGCTTCTCCCACATTTCAAAGAGAAAGTTATTTTAGAAACATAGAAACAGAGCGAGTCAGAAGGGGTCTCCCGGGCCATCTAGTCTGACCTCTGGCACCAGCCGGCTCCGCTCACGACATGCCCACCATGTGGGCGTCCAGCCTATCCTTGAACACCCGCACCGATGGAGCCTTAATGACCACTTGTGGAAGCCCATTCCACACCCTCGGGGTCCTGACTGTCAGGAAGTGCTTCCTGGCATCCAAAGGGAACCTTGGCTCCCTGAGCTTTGCTCCATTGGAGCACGTCCTGCCTTCCTCTGCAGGGGAGAACAGGTCTCTACCCATCTCCATGTGACATCCCCTCACATACCTGTATGTCGCCAACATATCCCCTCTGAGTCTCCTCTTCTCCAGGCTGAAGAGACCCATTTCCCTCAGTCTCGCCTCATACCCCATCCCCTGAAAAACCGGCCACCAACCTTGTGGCCCTACGCTGCACTGACTCCAACCTGGCTATATCCTTTCTGTAATGAGGGGCCCAAAACTGAACACAATACTCCAGTTGCGGGCACACCAGAGTCGTGTAGAGTGGTAGTAATACCTCTCTTGATCTAGAAGCCACACTTCTGGCTATGCTCCTCAGTTGTGGCCACTGCTCCAATTTTAGTGTCATCCACGAATCTGATCAGCAAACTGTTCACCCCTTCTTCCATGTCATTAATGAAAAGATTAAACAGGATCGGCCCCAGGACAGAGCCCTGGGGGGCCCCGCTTGTCACTGGCCGCCATCCCGATGATTCCCCGCTAATGGTTACCTTCTGCTTTCGGTCAGTCAACCATGCCCTAATCCACCGGACAGTACTTTGGTGTATCCCAAACTCCTCAGTTTCTCCACCAGGATATCATGGGGCACATTGTCAAAGGCCTTGCTGAAATCCAGGTATACCACAACCACTGCATCCCCTCCATCTAGTCATCTCGAAACCTTGTCATAGAATTCCACAAGGTTTGTCTGGCAGGACCTGTTTTTGCGGAAGCTGTGTTGTGTGGCTGTCAGCCTCCCTTCCCTAACTAGCATCACTAGATCTCTCTCTATTATGACCCTTTCCATTGTTTTTCCTACAATGGACGTAAGGCTAACGGGTGTATAATTCCCCATGTCCCTTCTATTACCCTTTTTGAAAATTCGGACCACTGATGCCACCCTCCAGTCCTCTGGAACTTCACCCGTTCTCCACGAGGCCTCAAAAATGGAGGCCAGCGAGCGTGAGAGAACCCCTGCCAACTCTCTAAGTACTCTCGGGTGTAAGCCATCAGGGCCTGGCGCCTTTGTAATGTCCAATGCCCTGAGGAGCCCCTCGACTTCAAGGGGGGG